ATGTTGGAAGTCTTCACGAGTACACATGGCATACGCATTCGACAAGCTTTTGAACCATTGGACTTGCCTTTCGAGTATTTGTAACACATTGGAGAATACTCGTGAATATTGCATGTTTCGACTAATCTCACTATATCTTTGCGAAAAATGCGATGGAAGTCATCTAACACAGGATTTGACATTGGTAGGCAGATCGGTACAACTTCATTCGTTATCGGCCCAGTTTCTTCTAAAATCAAGGCAAAAGCAAAAGTAAGGATATACTAAAAGCTACAACCTCATGAATTAATGCACTATCATCGCTTGGTGTACTGGTTCGATCGTCACTTTCATCTTTAAAAAGAATGATCAAATTTAAAAGTACAAATGATCTAATGCAGTTATTATGGTTACTAAGAATCTGCAATTCGAATTAAACGCATTTTAGATTATCGAGAATTAGTTGAAAGCTCAACTCTAGGCTACAGCAACGATAACGTATTCTCAGGTTATGAAATTTCGTCAAATAGGCAGATGCGAATATTTCAAATCACAAATTCGAATGGTGCTAAATGTATTACCTCGAAATGGATCTAAATCTTCTTTTACAACATCTTCTAAATATTTTAGTAAATTTTCACGGAAATCTTGGTTTTAAATCTTTTCTTTTAATTGTGCTGGTGTAAACTCATGATTGAGCCAAATTTGAAGGTGTAAGGTGAAGCGAGCCTCTGCCTTGATTCTCAACAGTGCCGAAATATGCTTTTGTAGGATCAAGTACACTACCAAGCACAAGACTTTTCAAGATGCTTTTTATTAAACAGTTAAAGAATTTTGCAGTAGCAACAGGATGTGCTGCGATAATTTGAGCATGTTCATAACTTGTGCCCAACACTTCTGGCAGAACTTTGTCAAGATTTAGATCAACATCTGCAAAATAAAGTGCCATTGGACTATGTGTGTCGGCTCGATTGATTAGTAGGAAGAGAGTTGTAAACTCGAGATTAAAACACAAAGAATAAATTTTCGTACGAAGAGGCGACCGTGAATGAACTGAATCCATAACATGACCACCAACCACTTTGATATGCTTCATGAGCGTATTTATTCTTTCATTAGTAACTTTGGAATAAGATGCTTTTGAGATGTTGACAAGAGCCGTTGTTACATCTTCAGAACTCAATAATTCAAGAAGTTTTGCGGATTGCTGAAAGTATGGCCTTGATGTTATTAATTGGGCATGGAAGCACGCGATTCGGCGTTGTAAAATATTGAAGACAACAAATATGAATGAGTAGTGTTCTTCAAAACGATGATCTCCGTACGAAAGAAGATATCTGAGATGCTCACGAAAATTAATTTGGACCGGTCGAGGGTAATCTTCAAGTGTATCACATCCATACGGAAAAAATGTAGGAAAGATACTCAATAAAAGATTTGGATTAGAATATTCATTGGCCGGTTTGTTACCACGAGAAATTATGTACAGTATCTTGTTCAACCTTTTCCTCGATGTCTTTTTTCAGCGTTTTATCACCCGTTTGTACCTTTATTCATTCTAAAAGATGTTCCACAACGTCATCAGACGAAATTTTGGTACCGTTAACATGCAAGATAGCACTACAACATAAACAATGGTAGGTACAAATATCAATACCTTTTTGCTTTGCCTCGCAATTATTGGTATAGCTGTTGTAGTGTTGGACTCAGATGCATTGATCAGAGGGTTAAGAATATAAGTTGTCCTTTCGTTTTCAACCGCTTCTACCTTAGCGGAAATGTCCATTGTTGCCCAGGAACACTCTAGGATATCATTCTCAATTAATTTATTGATTGTTGATTGATTAATTGTAACATATCGACGAAGTAGATTGTTTGAGCTAAGTCATTTAAGTGCATCAGAAACTTTTGTTTTTCGAACAGCCAAAATATTTTTTAGTTGAATTCTTTGTGGAGTGCGACAACTAACAAAAATAATTTTTAGAGAATCACATAGATCATCTAATTCTAATGGCAGGGTAGTAGCTATGTTAATAATATCTTGAGGAAAGCTTATGCAGTTGCCTTTTAAAGCTGATTGAGCTATGCTTATCGAATGAAAAGACGAATATAATTTCACAATACAGCTATTGTGTTGGTAGAGAGCAATAAGTCTTTGCTCGGGAATGGTTAGTCCTTGTAATTGCTGTGGCACACCTCCCATTTATACTTTATTGGCAGCTGAAAACTTGCGTATTTTTGCTTCCAGCATGGACTACCAACATTTTGTACAAATGTCGCAGTATACCGAAGATTATCTCGTTTTATCAAAAGTTATATGATATCCTGCTTTATAGAGAAATATACTGTTTACCCAAGTAAATGATTGATTATCCATTGATGATTTTATATTCCTATCTATAATAAAAAAAACCTGATTAATCTTGCTAGTTTATGTATTACAATGGTTCAGCTGCATCTCTTTCGTTTCGATCGAAAGCTAAATCAAGATCGTCATTCTTGTTAAACTTATCTTTTGAATGGAACTTGCTCATTCATTGCATAATAGAAATTATGTCATAAAGATCATTATGTACTCTAAGCAATTCAATTGATGGAATTTCGCACAATCGTTTGTGTCAGAGGTCACTCTTATAGCAACGAACATTACAAATGCCACAAATATTCTCTGCTAGAGAACTCATCGACATATGTCGACTGGAGTTTTTTGAGCAGTTAATCCTGCATTCCATTTGAGTAGATTTTGGTTATTCAGTGTCACTACTTTTAGGATTTTTGTTTCTATCAGTAACCGTTTGTGCTTATACATTTTTCTGAAGGCGTTTTCTCTTACGAGCCACTGCTTACTGTTACTCGACTTTCTTCCGGTACATAAGCAGCGCATATTTCAGTACTTCTTCTGCGAGCTGGTACACGCACTTTTTCAGTTTCTTTTGGTGATATAGTAGCTCGTTTAGTCATACTCCTCCCACGAACAAGTACTTGCTGTTATTCGATTTCTTTCACTGTAAAAGTAGTTCGCTAAGCTGCAATTTTCTCACGAATTAATACTCGTGAATGGTTGATTTCCTCTACTGGGGTGTGGGTATTAATTGCAATATCCACACCCACGCCCTTCATTTCTTGTTGATGAATACCAGTATTTTAATTGAAAACCATACATTGAATTTAATTTTTAAACGAATTCACTGCATTTTTTAATCAAGGTGTCAATTTTAATCAATGAATTTGAAAAAGTATCAATTTTATGTCCACTTCATCATCAAAAATACCATTTTTCATGCTTTTTGCAAAGATTTCAAGATTTTAATGAATATGTTTTTATTTTGAAGTTACTTGATCTACATGAAAAGAGCAATTATATGGATACATGGTGTTCTGAAAAGCATAGTTTACTAGTACACTCTATTTCAAATTCTCGTTGAACACATCGAATGACACTCTAATTTAAGAACTCTCATTCTGATAAGATCGTTTGAAGCTCCATAGAATTTTGTCACGATTTTACACAGTCCACGGGGTAGGATAGGGCAGATTTTATTAACTTATTAGACAAAAAATAAATTCCATCCAATGTCATCCTGAGTCTGACATAGAAACTACAGGATGAACAAGATTTTCGCTGTATAACTGCATTAGGAACAACCAATCGAGACCAGACTAGTGCTGGCAATTAGCTTTAGCCCTGACTCACATATTTCTAAAACATCAGCCCGCTATTATCTATTTTTATGCCTGTTCAAGGAAGATACCTTCTTTTGTTGAGCGCTGTAGTGATCTAGCGAAATAGATAGTAACTTATACTTTATAATCAAATCGACGTACTTGACATTCTGCTAGTTAAGAATTTTCTCTTTTGATTAGATCTTTTCAATAGGTGAGATGCATTCACACATATAGTAGGAAGCATCTAAATTCATTAGTGCCAAATAGTATTGTCTCATGATCGCTCGCTAAATTACACATAAAACGAAAAATAAGCGTTAGATAGTTAGCATTACCAAACGCTTACTTTACTAGGTAACCTTAAGAAATTCATTACCGCCAAAGTAAGCTAGCGATGGACTAAATATCGAATATTATTGTTAGTCATGTTGGACTCATGTGTCTAGTCAGAGTATGAAAAAGGCCTCCTCCTGGACTGATCTGAAACTTGCTATGTCCTGGAATCTCATCTTTATTCTATCATCGACAGACGACAGTTTACATATCAGCCAGTCTTTTTCTAGAGAAAGATACTTCAAGGACAGGCTCAACATCAGTTAGATATTAAATTATCATCTAGAATGCAGACTAGTGCTAGACAAGGACTTTTTGAGACTCTGATTAAACACTTTGAGACGTCATGACTCTCATCATAAAATGATTTGAAACTGCCAAAAAGAAGCGTGTTGGATACGGTTCACGCGACACACTCCAATGAGATGTATTTGACTAGCTCGAACGAGTCTGACATTAAATATATTATGAAGTAGAAGATCAGATTTGGACAAGCGTATAATGTTTTACTTATCTGTCATTTAAAGAATTGAACCAAACAGACGATAAAACTTCTTCTAATATGTCTCAATAAACATTTGGAGTAAGGATTTCATAGAATTTAGAATTGTTTAAAATTTCAATACCTAGAAAAAACGCTTATTTTAGAACACAATTATGCAGATGAACTTCTTTACTCTTGTACAATTGAATAAATAATTTTCTACATGGTCCTTTAGCTACCGTATGCAGTGAGCCACATTTTAATGATTCTTCTCCGTTGTATTTTGCGCAGTTTGTTTCGATCAAGAGCAGAATGAATAGGTATATGAAGAAAAAGTAAACTGCGTATTTCTCTTCTGATAAGAACCAGATTCTATATAAATAGCTGCGCATATAAAAATGAGTTTTAATTTACCTCTGTCAGTACAAAGCAAACAGATCTATCAAATATGGCTCGCTTTCTGATCAGTATCCTGATTGCTCTCGTTTCTGTGACGGAAATGTCGGGGATATCTACCATACAGAGTATTTTTATCTCAATGTTTATTATATTAGTCGATCCCATGTCAGCTGCATGTGGTCAATCGAAATATATCTGTGCGTTCGGAGGTAATCAGGTTTGTGACGAGCTGTGTCGTACAGAATGTAATCGTCCTGGGGGACAATGTGTTCGGTTAAGATGCGTCTGCAATTAATGAAACAAGAAACGACAGAAATCCTTTAAACAAGCAACTATCATGACGCTTATCATTTATCTCATTACTCTTATCAAATAAATTGCTTATCGTAATGATGTGCTTATGATTTCCGAGGAGCTCTGGTGCAAAGGAGAACATGCGGAGAACTGGATGAGATCCGAACAGAGTTATAACCGGTTAGGAAAATTCCAACCGGTCTGGTCGGTGACAGACCAGTTTCAAATGTTTTTCAGGTCGGTAAAAATCGGCCAGTTCCAAATATTTTTTCAGACTAGTAAAAACCAGCCGGTTTATTAGATCATTTGTATTCGGTTAAATTTAAGGAGCTTTGAAAACTACTCAGTTTTTTGTGAAACGCG